GTCTGGAATGACATGTGAACTGTCGGGACGTGATGTTGGTGTTTTGCTTGTTCACTGTGATCTCACGAAAATCAATTTTCCATTTCGACAAACTATCAGTCGAAGAACTTCTATGCTTGGCTAAGTTTATAGTAAGAAAAACGTATTCATCCCGTTTGTGGTAATGGAACTGTAATGATCGGTAATTTGCTTGCGAAACATAATGACCAAATTTGTATTGGCATATAATAATAACAACAGATTCAGAAAATAAGTTGGGAATGTACAATGCTTATTTAAATTACGTTTTCAGGGATTACATTTCACAACCACTTTTACACATCACGCTTGTTCAAGCGGCTTGTGTTACAGTGTGGTTCGAACATGTGGTCCGGTTATGACCAGCTCTCCCACATCGAGTGCATCTCCTCAGTCGGGTAGTGGACTCGTATCTAGCTCGCTTACATCGCGTTGGTGGTCTACTTGGAGGATGACGTACAACCGGTAGCAAAATAGGAGTACCTAGAATTTCATTTGGAACAACCCAATCCACTTACCGCATAACGGAAGATATTACTTCCATATAGGCACCCCTCCAGTATTTCGATGTATAGTACAGTAATGGCTTACCACTCAGGGTAGCAGCAAGAGTTGCATGAGCGCATGGCGTACGATTTAGTTGAAACTCACGACAGGTACATGTGTTGTCGGAGAAGTCCACTATCTTCGTATCGTTGGATATTTCAACCTGGGTCAAGTTGTCTGTCAATTCATGGGCTCGAAGCCTAGTTCTAGCTTCAAATGTTGTCTGTAACTCATTCTCCATCCTCGACGACAATATATTACTGCATGAGCTTGCATTGGTTCGACGTTTGTAAAACCACTTCTGTAATGGTTTTATGAATGTGCTCAACCAAGCACGTGATTGGCAACGAATAGGCATGTCTCAGCATTGAGTCCAATAATTTTGAATTGTTGTTTGTCATGATGTTGTACTGGTCGCCCACGAATAGTGCTCGTGACCAAAATGAAAAATCGGATTGCTCCAAATACCCATAATAACTTTCGCTGACCTTACGAATCTGTCCCATTAGTCATTCGACCTCTTCAACTCGATAAATTGTAGCAGCTCATTTGAACAGGAATATTGAACTTGCACTAAAGTGCCGCTGGATTAGGTTCTTTTCCACATGCCACATACAACAACCATGATGAGATAAAGGAAATAAGTGAGTAATAGCTCTTTCAATACTTCTTTTCCTGTTAGAAACAAATACAAGTTCATTTGAGTCACCTATAAGATCTTTCAAGTTAGACATAAACCACATCCAAGATCTGTTTATTTCGGAATCTACGATCCCCCACGCTAAGGGATAAATATGTTTGTTGGCATCTTGGGCAGTTGCCAGTAAAAGTGTGTCCTTGTATGGGCCTTTCAAGTGACTACTGTCAACGCAAACAACGGGCCTCAAGTACTGCATGTAACCACGAATGCTTGCACCAAAAGCCAGGAAGAAGTAATGGAACCTATTGCGCGAATCAAGTTCGATGTAGGTTACCGTCCTCGGGTTATTCTCACCTAGGACGTGACAGTATGAAGATAGTTTCTGAAAACTCTCCTCTGGTGTCCTATGCAGCATGTGTAAAGCAACCACCTTTCCTCTACGTGCCTTGTTGTAACTTATTTGGACACCGAGCTCACGTTCCATGTCACGTGCAATAGTGCTCAGATCGTACGATCGGTTCGAATTATCCAATTGTCCCAAAATATGCTAGGCAATTATAGAACTCGTCGCATGTCAATGCGCATTACTACGAAAATAGATGGAACATTTGTGAACATTATTGAATTTACGGATCACAAAGATTGCAGACTGCTTCACAGTAGAAGTACGTAACATCCACTTGCAGCTGCTGTCGGCGCATACAACGGTTAACATCTTCATGCTTGACTTGCTCACCCGAAATTGGAACTTGTCTTTTAAAGCAAGTGCACGAATTGTCGAGTACAACTCTTTCTTACTGAAGAATATTTCCTTTTTGGCAAGATCGGATGTATTCACAGTTCTCATCAATTCATATCCATCTGAACCGTTGGAATGTGACGAAGACTGCTCGTCGCCGACATCAACAGAATTAGCATCCTCTAAACTAGGTGATGGGTTATCCAAGTTCTCATCTAATGGTGCAGTCTCGTTATCATACTCATGTGTTTCAGGTGCATTATTGTTTGAGACACTATGCATTCGATTCACCAAATCATGTTCCACGTTTTGCAGAACATCCACTGCGGCAAATGAAGGATGTTGAAAATTTGCATCCCTTCCCATGTCAACACTTGGGAGATCGGATTCTAAAAGAGTAACACAAATAGCAGTTTCTTTATGCACTGATATGTACCAATTTAAATCTTCATTGTCGTATATTTCGGCTAGAGGTATGTTCAAGTTAGGGACTTTGAACTTCAATTCAATTTGAGCGCGAGGATCAATAATACCAAGTTTCTCCTTCAACCTTAACAAAAGTTCAGCTACGGTAATACTTGTTGGCACCAAAATCGAAGTAGTTTTGTAATCTCTCTACTTCCATTCGTCATCTGTATGAAAAAAAATTTTCCCATGCGACACGATGAATCTCAAATGATTACTTATACTTGAAATGTTGGGATCGCAACGGTAAGAATTCAAAATCAATATGTTGGCATTTTATAGCAGGAAAATCACACTGTATAATACGTAAATCAGTACAATAGCAAAATGTCAACTTAAGGGTTTCCATCATTTTGAAGTGTCCGAATTGAAAGTAAAATTGTATAACCCGACAGTTTGTGAATGTCGGGTTCAACATCTCCAACGTCTAACCCGACGGTTTGTAAATGTCGAACTCGACAGTTCGAGTGTCGAGAATGTCGGGAAGTAGACGGCAGTAGGTTTCTCAGGCTTCTTCAACACATCATATTAAGTGTGGTCATTATTATTCAACTACCAAATGACAAAATGTAAATGGCATCTGGGCATTGTCATTAAAGAGACTTTAATGGTGGTAATGGAAGAAATTACTCAAAACCTTAATGGTGATAATGACATTTTGTAAAGAATTCCAAAACCAAACAAATGAATGTATAATACTTTCAAAAATTTCAAAGAAATGCACCCATGTTGTATTGAACATGTACAAGTAAAAAGTTGTAGAAGTAAAATATAAATAATTTGTAATTGCTAACCTCTCAAAATGGATGAAGAATGCAACATAAATGTCTTCTTGATCAATGAAAATGAAGAAGATGGAGAAAAGGTAGGGTTTCTTGTTTATGTTACGTTTTCAAAATTTTTTTGGTGATTTTTTATTAATAAAAATTTATATTAATCAAAAAATACAATTCTCCATGTTTTCTATATAAAAATTAAATGATCACATCAAGTCAATGCTTTTCCTTCAAATCAAGCATTTAATGCTACTAGAAATGTGTCATTAAGGGTAATTTGGACTTTGCACCCCAAAAATGTGACATTTTTGCTCACAAAAAGTGAAAATGACAGATTTTTTGGAACTTTGATTTTTTATGACATTTTTGTTAATTCTCTTTATCTTAATTGTTTGTGATGATAAGGGTATCGCACGAGTGATTTTCTTGAACAAATTTTGATTTTCTTGTATTTCACATGTCCCAGGTTTGCAACTTTTGTCTGATTTCTTGTTTGTTATGCCTTAATTTCTTACATCTCTTCCTCAAATTTTATTTTTTTATCTATTTCTTTCGGTGAGGAGGGAGAGAGAATTTTCATCTTTATTTCTAGGGTATTAAGAATTTATTTGAATTATTCGTAAGCAAAACCCTTTCTGATGCACAAATTTGTTGGAACATATTTATCTTGATTATTTATGATGATAAGGGTATTGCAAGAGTGATTTTTTTTTTATTAAACTTCGATTTTGTAGTTTCTTAAATATTACTTAACATGTAGATTTGTATGAAATTGGACTGCAACTTTTTTAATTGTACGGTTTATGTGTGATGTCAATGGAAGCTGCTGCACAAGGTATTTCTCTATAGTAATTTTGCGGAAAAAAAATTTTTATTGTTGTTTTTCAAATATTATGTGTTATGTGATTCTACGTTTATATGAGACTGTATGTCACTTTGGATTGATTCACAAAAGTGCTTCATATTATTTCTCTTTGGAAGAATTTGTAATCTATCAAATTGCAAGTTTGATTCCTTTTTTTGTTTCATTCAACTTCTGTAAACTTTCTGATGTAGCCATTCTCACGTTATATTCACTACAACATATCAAGTCTTCTATACCTTGCGAAAAATGCTATCTATCACGTTTTATAGCATTTTCAGGAATGCTATTGTAGGTGGTGTTATTAAAAGGCATGCCTCTATTATAACGTTTTAAAAATGCTATTATAAAGTGCTATAAAAAAACTTTTACATAGCACTTTATTATCGTCATGGTTTTAGCATTTATAGCATTCTTTTCATGTAATCTATTTTAATTCAATAGCATTTTTTACTTGTCATAATTTTAGCTTTAATAGTCGTCATGTTACATCTTTTATAACATTCTTTTTCATCGTAATTTTTAATATTTATAGCATTTTTTGAATATAATGTATTATTTTTAATAGCATTTTTTTATTGTAATGTATACATTTTACATAGCATTCCCAATTCCTTAATTATCAAATGTAAATATTCAATATCATTATTTTTAGGGCTAAAAATATGAACAACAATAACGAACCAATAATAAATTTCAAAACATTCATCAATATTGTCTTGCAGAAATATACAAGAGTAGCTATTCAATAGAGATATCTAATTATGTTCTGTCTTCATATCAGATACTATTGGCAATATATGCTTGAAAAGACAATAAACAAAATTAAATTAGAATCATATTATTCTATTTCTTCAAAATGAAATTTCTCGAACTCTTGCAACAAGTTTGGAGAAGACATCCATCAATCCAATAAAGCATTTAAATCTGAAAATTAACAAAATGATGCTACCTATTAGATTGTAAAATAATGTAAAGTAAAAATATTCAAAATTCTAATCAGTGATCGAAGATGTTAGAGTATAAAATTTGATCTTATTGTCTATGCTATTTACTCGATGACAACTTTCTCAATTGGCCATGCAACTGTGGTACCAACATATTCTCCAATGTAAGTCATATATGAAGTAGGCCTCCATAAGAATGCATCAGGTTTCATAGCTACATCAACCCAAACTCTCACAGCATTAGGTCCTAGAGGAAAGTGATGAACCAATATTTTTGGATCATTTGAAGACCAACATCCTTCTACCACCTCTTCTCCTATTCTGGTCCAATCTAGTAGCTTACACTTATTATTGAGTGTATTAATGTTTACACTCTTCAACAACACAAATTTAGAAGCAAGGTTATAGTCAACTTTAAAAATAAATATATATTATCAATTAAAAGGAATGATAAAGTTTACCGGTGAAGACGGTTGTTGAATGTTAGATAATTCTTCACTTTGATTTTCCTGAAACTAGTAAGATAAAAAAATTTTAGAAACTAGTTACTATATCAATAGAAGTAAAAGCGTATGAGTTATATTTCATTTAAAGGAACTTACTAACCTGTTTTTTCAATAAGTCGTTGATTGTTCTCTTCATATCTACCACTTGAATTTTGGTGCAAAATCCATAAATTTGTGCTCGTCTCTATTCACTTCTTAATACCAAATACAGGCATAGCACAATACATATGCGAATACAAATATCATCTGACAAACTTAACAAGTCCTCTTAATTAACTAACTGAAAATAAACCAGCCACTGAGATTATTTCTGTATCCAACACAACTGATAAAAAATTAACAATATGTTATAATTTCTCTGCACCTTGAGAAGTGATCAATTATATAACTATCAAACAATTCACACACTACAGTCCAAAGAAAAATGTTTATCGTGAATCTGCAACACAATCAACAAATTTTCTTCTACACCTTCTTTCTGATTAGTCAAATGAAATCACATACTTTTCAGAGCTTAAACATTTACTTAAGTCTCTGTATGTAATGAGGGCTGCAGATAAAGATAAAAAAAAAAAAAAAAAAAAAAAAATTGG